TAGGACTACAGGCATGTGCCACATGCCCAGCTAATTTTTGTGTTTTTAGTAGAGACGGGGTTTCACCACGTTGGCCAGGATCGTCTATCTCTTGACCTCATGATCCACCTGCCTTAGCCTCCCAAAGTGATGGAATTACAGTCATGCACCATCATGCCAGGCCAAAAATCTACATTTTAACTCAACTCCCCTGACATTTGGACTTTTAGTTGTCTCAGTTTACATATTTTTATATTATCTATCTCTTAACAGGTTGCTGTAGCTATCATTGTTTCTGATAGATTTGTATTTTGGGCTTCGTACTAGAGTTTGAATTGATTGTACACCAGAGTTAAAGCAAATTCTGGGTTTGTCTGTGTATTTAATTTTACCAGTGGGTTTTATAGCTTCAAAAGTTTTCCTTTTACACATTAATGGTTTTTTCTTTCAGATTAAAGACTCTCTTTAGTACTTCTTGAAAAATTGTTCTTGTGGTGCTGAATTCTCTCAGCTTTTGTTTGTCTGAGAAAGACTTTATCTCTCTTTCATATTTGAAGGATCATTTTTCTGGATGTAGTATTCTGGATGGCATTTTTTTTTCCTTAAGTACTTTGAAAATGTTATTCCACTTCCTCTTGGCTTATATGGTTTACATTGAGAAGTTGGTTGCCAGATGAATTGTAACTCTGTTGTATCTTATTTGCTTTCTCTTGCTGCTTTTGGGATTTTTCTCTTTGTCTCTGACCTTTGAGTTAGATTATTATATATCTTGGGGTGGTCTTATTTGGGTTGAATCTATTTGGTGTTCTCAAACCTTCCTGTACGTGGATATTTATATCTTTCTCATGTTTTGGAAAGGTTTCAGTTATTCCTTTGAATAAGCTTTCTACCTCTTGCTCTTACTTAACTCCTCCTTGAACACCAAAAATTCTTAGATTTGGTCTTTTAAGGTAATTTTCTGTATCTCATAGGTTTTTGTGGGTTTTCTTTTTTTCTCCTATGACTGTGTGTTTTCAAATAGTTTGTCTTTGAGCTCACTGATTCTTTCCTCTGCTTGGTCCATTCTGCTGTTGAAAGCCTTTAATGAGTTCTTCAATTCAGTAAATGTATTTCTCAGTTTCAAGATTTCTGTTTAATTTTAAAAATCACTTCAATCTCTGTTAAATTTCTCAGATAAATTTCTGAGTTGTTCTTCTATGTTATCTTGGAGATCTGTGAGTTTCTTTAAAATTGCTATTTTGAATTCTTGGTTGGAGAGCTCACAAATCATCATCTAATTAGGCTTAGTCACTGGATTTTGCTTTGTCCTTCTGAGGAGGTCATGTTTCCCTATTTGGTGCTGTTTCTAGTAGGTATATATCTATTTCTTTGCATTGAATGATTAATTATTTCCATTTTCTCTTCCTGGCTTCAATATATATATATATTTGCTTAGCTCCAGATGCCATTTTAAGCCCAGGTTTGTCTTCTTCTAGTCAATGGTGGGAGTGCTGCCTAACCCAAATGGGATAAGATCCAAAAGATATTATCCTGGAGGTATGGGAGGACTGGCTAGGGGTTTGTGCCTAAGGAACCTGTGGAACATACTTCCTGCAGCATGGTGCTGCTGAACAGCCACTCTGATTTGACATCTCCTTTGAACAACTTACAGAGCAGTTTCCAGGGCTGGAGATGGTAATCCCACCTACCTACTTCATCTCTGTCTTTCCTCAGGGTTATTTCCTTCTTCAGGCAGTCACAATAGTTTCTGTGGGTTAAAGCAAGAACAGTTTCCTTCCAGGGAAACCAAGATAGTAGAAAAGTTAGTTTACCACCTCAGTTTCATTTTTTCCAATGTAGAAACAATGAGTTTCTACATGGAGAAGATTTTCCATGTACTTGTTGCCAGAAAGAATTGAGAAGGAAAGGCATCACAGATGTGGAAGTCTGCTTCTCTTACCATCTGCTCAGAATTTTTATACTTTCCTGTGGCCTTGGGAACTATTTCATCCTCATATTTGAGTTCTGGGTTGTTGATAGTGAAAATCTCAGTGCTGTATATTTATTTTGGGGAGGGAGGGAGTGGGAGGGAGTGGAGCCAGCTTGCTTCTATACTGTCATTTTAAAACTGGAAATCCCCAATCCTTGTTTTTAAAACCATGAACAGCAGTGGGTTCAAGCTATACTTTAATGAACTTTAGTGTTTAGCCAGGTTAACTGGTTTGGTTGTCATTAGTGCCGTCCACTAAATATTTCTGGCTGTCTACCTTTTAGACACATGGTAGGATAGTACTTTCTCAGCCTCTCATGGTTGAGTGAGGCCATGTGACTAGTTCTGGCCAATGAGTTATGAGCCAAAATTCCACAGTTACCAATTGCTTTCAGGCTGCAATATTTGATTGTTAAAATGCCCAGAGCTCACCTTCTCTCTGCCAGAGCAACAAAAAAAATGCTCAGATGATGGTAGCTCTGATACTTTGGATATCAGAGTAAAGACTATGGTGCATAGGATTTCTAGTCAACCAACAATGGATATATAGCATGAGTGATAAATAAACCTTGCTCTTTTAAGCCACTGATACTTAGAGGTTTTTTAATACATCAGCCTTGTTGAGACTATCTTTATTGACAAATAAGTTTTTTTTTATGAATAAGAAGTATTAGTAGTCAAATGAGTTGAATAACCTTCTTTAGTGCAGGAATTTGCAGTCATCAATGTGTTATATACATTGTGACTGTCCAAGAAGGGATGTGTAGATGCATTATTTCCCAAATTTATTGGTGGTCTATGAAACAAAAATGAATATGAGTACTGTACCAACTCAGAAATACACTTTTGAGGACTGTTCCTGATGGGTTTGTCCATGAGGAGCTAGGGTTCCATAAGCTTGTATTTCTTAATGTTTAACACACAGCAAATCAGCAATACACTTTGACAGTAGTAACATTTCATCTCTGGGTGTCACTTAGACCTTCTACTGTTGCAGACCCACCTGAAACCAATTACTTCCAAGACTAAGGGCTTCTCTCTTAAGTGCTATGACCACACCAAATTAATCAGCCAGCCTTATTTGTAAAGTAGATTATAATATAATATGCTCTAGGTCTTCATGAAATCACTCTAGTCTCATTAAGTCCTGCTGTCATTTGCCACTTGATTAGAGTCTGTGGGGTGGTGGGGGGAATCCCTTCTTGCTACAGTCTTTGAGTTTCCATTGCATACTACTAAATGTCAGTGGGGCCAGTCACTTCCCTCTCCAGGAATATTAGATGAGAGGAATCTTCTAGCTCCTATTTTCACCTAAATTTCCAGGCTGGAATTTTTCCTGGTCAATTTTCTTGGTCACCAAAATATTCTTCAGGGAAAATTTTGAAGTTTTCATCTAGATACAGAAGGTAAGTAAAGCCAAGCAATAATATATCAAAAAGAGGCCTTATTTTTGGGCACCAAGTTATTTTTCTCTGCATGTGCAACAGCAAGATTGTATGAAATGTTCTGAGTGACACCTTGCTCACCAACGGAATCCTTCATTTATCCATTCATTCAACAAATACTGACAGAGCTATTCATGAGCTCATTCACTAAGCACTGGAAATATAGTTTGTGGAGAAAATAAACAAAACAAAACAAAAAGGAGAGATAGAAGCTCTCTTGTCCTCGAGTTTATCATTTACTTAAGGCAGACATCACAACTAACCAGAACTAGGGTGAATACATTGAAGAAACCCTGCAAGTTTCTGTGAAGCAGTGGTAGGAAAAATGACATTTAAAGGGGACTTAAAGCCTAAATAGAAACTACCATGGCTAAAGGGGAGAAGGGCCTAGGTAGAGGGAAGAACAGGTGTAAAGGTTCAGGAAGAAGCAGGACGCATCCTGAGAGAATGGCAGCAGAGCTGAAGAATAGAGAAAGGAGAAAACAATGTTGAGAGATAAGTCTGGGGATGTAAGTGATATTATAGATATTTAATTACACATGCTATGTATTTTATCATATATATTATTAGTTAATATAGATAGAATATTAACTATCTATATTATCTAAATAATATACCGAAATGGCCCAAGAATACATATCTAGGAGTCAGTGCTGAAGTTAGCACTTTATTTTGCTCCACCATATTTGCTTATGCCTTCTTAGAATTCGTTTATTGTTGGCCAAAATTGACAAACAATGACTATCATTCCTAGATAGCGTTGTCTGTGATTTAATCTAACCTGGGTTCCTTTGAGTGGTACTGGAAATGCAAAATCTTATTAACGAGAATTTAATTGTCTTCCATAATGGCTCCTAATTCAGTCTCATGTTATACAGCTAAGAACTAGATAAGGAGATTAAGAGTTCCCAACAGTGACCATGGTTGCTGGGCATATCTCTGGGCCAGCAGCAAGTGATAAGCAGGTTGACAGACATAGTAGGCTGCAATTTCTACAATCTTGGACACGATGTGGAATGAAGCAGATAACATTACTCATCTTGTTGAAATACATTCCAATTTCCTTCTGTTAACATAAGCATAATGTTTCAATTTAAAATGATTTTCTTTGTAGAGTGGTTTTAATGTAATCTATATGTTCTCTGTTTCTGTGTTTTTGATCTTTTAAAAATTGATGTGATTTTTCTATTTTGGTTTTACTTTAACTATATTTTAAATCTTCTTCCTCAGTCATTTTTTGTTATATTCTGAAGGACAATCTTTTTGGAATTCATAACCCATCACTGTTGTGATTCACCATCTGTCTCAAAAATCATAGAACCCATTTACATGTTTATTTAGGCTTTGAGGTTTGTGCAATTTTATTATCTGTGATCAAGTCATTTGTATGATGGAAAACAGTTGGTCTTTGACAGTTTTCTGATTCTTACTGAAAATGAAACCTCTATGCTGAATTTCAAGGGATTTTTTAAATCATTTAAAATAAATGCAAAACTTTCTTTATTATTCAGTTTCTGCATTTTGTGAAAATATCAAGTACATTTAAATTAATGATAAGTATTCAAGTTTTTTTTCTTGTTGAGAAGAACATTTAGCATTAAGCAACAATTATTTAAATCATGCTCCTGGAGATGTATATATATATTTATTCTCCATACTTGCCTATATACTTATACATCTTAGTTCTTTGAGTTTTATAGTGAGTATTTTTTCTAAAATGAATTATATTACATATATATGCTAAATGAAACTGGCATGAGCAAAGGTTTGGAGGTAGCAAGGCAAATCATTGCTTTCTGTGATAACAGTAAGATATGTCCTTGAGGACGTATCTTCCATACCTAGAAAGGAGTTTTGACTGAGTTACGTATAATTCTCATTGAATTTCTGATTTGCTCAAATATGTGGGATTTTTTCCCATGAACGGTATTTGTTGAGGACAATAGAAACATCATACCTTCCTTTCTGTACATTATTTTTCTCCCTTTTCCTGACAGATACGGTTTTTTTTCCCCAAGCACTACTGAGAAAAAAACTCAAGATACTTTGGGACAAACTGGTTGGGTTTTGGCCCTCTCATCAGCGAGGCATTGTGAGATTTGTATTGTTTATGTAGTACCCCAAGGTAACACCAGTAAGTACTTTACAGGAAACAAATTATCTGACAGTAATGAAATTGTGTTGTTCCAGAACAAACAATACAAGGCCCTAGAGGTAATGGGGACAGGAAAGAATATAGTCCAAGCAATACTCCTTTGCATACCCTGGGAGAATGTAGCACACAGCATACCGTTATTAGAGCTAACAAGCTTCATACAGGAAGTGGATACACTGGGTTTCTTTGCAGCAGGAATAGGAGCTGTGTTGCTGTGCATGAGTTGGGAGATCTGCTGGGAAGGATAATGTAGAGTGTTGGCCTGAAGTTTTGAGTGCCTCAATTTGGTGGTTAAAGTTGCCAGAGGAGATGAGAGGGCCAGAGGAAGTAGTGGAGGCGTGGTGTGGGATGGGGCTGTAGGATGGATGAGGAAGAGTTGTAAGCAGGTACAGAGTTGTGGGGAGGCTGGAAGGTGAAGAGAAGCCAAAGCAGAGTGGGAGAAACATAGTCTGAACAGCAGGAAAGGAAAATGGACTTGGCAGTAACATTTGGCAAAGACTGGAGTAGGAAACTGATGAGAAAGAGGCCAGTGAGAAGGAGTTTGTGTAAATCAAGGCAGGATGTGATGAGTGTCTTGGCAACACATAGAAATAAAAAAGATCAGATTTCAGGGGAAGAAAGATTTTAAGTAAAGCTAGATATGAGGACATACAGATAAAGAGAACATGAACTTAGGAATCAAGTTTAATCTCTTTCTATAGTCACCTTTCCTCTCACCTATTCCCATGTTGAGTGACCCCTATTTGGTCAAAACTCTTCCCTTGACCTTAAAAAGCATTGTTTTCCATTTACCTCTCTGTTATACTTTCCCCCGTGGTTTCAACTATTTTTTCAGATGCCACATGTATATATATCTCCAACCTGAAGCTCCCCAGAGCTTTAATTTTGCATTTCTGCTGGATGGATATTTCCTAATAGATGCATGGTTATCACCTCATATATAAAACTGGTTTTCTTTGTATATAATTTTAAAGTGCCTCCCTGTGGTATCACCATTCTCTGGTTATCCACACTCAAAAACCTTACCCTATCCAAATAGTGACTAGAGGTAGGCAGGTAGTTGGGGTTGGGTAGTCCACTCTTATCTGTGAGATTATTCAGAGATCTTCTAGGAGATCACTCATTCACATGATGAGAGCTTCAGTAAGGGCAAAGGCACAGATCCATGTTTCAGCCTGCAGTAAGGCAAAAGAGAAAACTGAGAACAAAGCAGCTTCCTTTGACGAGTATAACACGGAAGTTGCACACATCACTTACCACTCACATCTCTTGGGCCAGTACCTAGTCATATGACCACACCTAGCTGCAAAGGAGGCTGGAAAATGTAATCTGTACCTGGGAGTCTGAGTCTAGCCACAATCAGAGTTTTATTACTGAAAGTAAGAAGGAGAAATGCTCTGTGTGGAAGGTAGGGAGAGTGTTAGGGGGAGGGGAGAAGGAATTAGCTAGAACACTGTGCCACAATCACAAAACCCCACAAGGATCTTTATTTCCTCCTATTTTCAGTACTTATCTGCTTCGATTAAATTTACATTCCTTTGCTTTGTTATTTCTTTTACATTTTTATTATCTCTCTACCTAAAATATAATCTCCTTGAGGGCTCAAACTGCATGATAAAATCTTTGAGCACCTAGCACAGCACCTGGTACATAGTGGGTGTGTAAAAATCATTTTCACAAATTATAATGATGATGCCTTTTGGAATCAAACATAATTGGAAGTTGTGGCAAGAGCTGGAAGAGAAGAACCTACTCTGAACAGTACATTAAGACATGTAAGTTGAAAGAGTTACTGACTACAGGGCTCAAGAATGTGTACGCTGGGCATGGCGGCTCATGCCTCTAATCCCAGCACTTTGGGAGGCGAAGGTGGGCAGATCACTTGAGGGCAGGAGTTCAAGACCAGCTTGGCCAACATGGTAAAACCCCATCTCTACTAAAACGACAAAAATTAGTCAGGTGTGATGGTGCATGCCTGTAATCCCAGTTACTTGGGGAGGCTGAGGCATGAGAGTCACTTGAACCCAGAAGGCATATTGCACCACTGCACTCCAGCCTGGGTGACAGCAAGACTCTGTCTCCAAATAAAACTGTATGCAGTTGCTTGGTACACATATTAAACATTTCACTAAAAGTGCTTTGATAACGTTCAGTTAACCTTCCTAATGCTATGTGAGATGACCTTAAGTATACTTATAATCAACAGAGCTGAGAATTTTTGGTGCCAGGCTCATTATCTCATTGAATCTTTACGTCTGTATGAGGTCAGTGTTAGCCTCCTTTTAAATATGAGGAAACTGAGGCTTAGAGGAAGTTAAAGAACTCACCCTCACACTATTATGTGAGTGCTGAGTGATACTTAACACTTGCTTTTCTCACCCAAAAGTCCAGTGTTCTGCCCACATACCGCCAATTTATGAGCATGATATGCATAAGATGGCAATAAACTAACCAGAAATCCTGAACATAGTTATAAAAAGGGAAGGCAGAATTTAATAGGCAAACCTATGGATCTTAGTGAGATCATTCAGCCACCTGTACTCCTAGGCTGAAAATGGTGGGAGACCTAACAGCAGCCATGCTATAGCATCTTAATACAAATCAGGCAATATCCCCTGGTTACTCCAGAAGTCTGAAGGTTGTAACTCTAGATGCTATATTGCTATAAACAAATTTCAGACCAATATGATGACTCTGTCAGCTAACAGAAAAGCGATAATGAGCAGAGTGAAGTAGCCAGGGAAGTGGGGTGATGGTGGGACAATATGAAAAGAAAAACAGAATCCATGGGCATTAGTCAGGGAGCTGTGACCTTGTGTAAAAGACTGAATCAGGATACAAAACCCTGCAGAGAAAGGCCAGGAAGTTTGTAAAAGTAGTCATGTAAATACAAGAAAATGACCTTCTCAACAAGGGAAATGGAAACAAGGAGCATGAGAAAATAACTTACTATACAGATGGCCAAGAAGTCACTTACATCACTATTAAACACAGCCACATGGAATGAAATTGGCAGAACCCATCTCCAAGCTTATTACATGAAGAAGCTCATTTTGTGAAGAAACATGAGTTACAGATATAATTGCTTAATAAATTACAGGCTTCTGGCAAAAAGGAGGTGTCGGATGGGGCTGGGTTACAAAAATGTTTAGATGGAAATTTTGAAGGACCATGGCTTCAGGTAGTTCTGATGTCACTGAGGAAACACCACTGGGTCCCCACTGTGTCCATGGGAATATGCAAAGCCTCCCACTGCATGACTAAGGATAGGTTAAAGTATGTCTGTGTTTTCACTAGGAAAAAAAAGTAAGTGCCTTTATGCTATTAAATTGCTTATTACCTTTTTAATTCCAAAATAATGTTAGAAATTTGACATTATTCTGGTTCAAGGGATCTCCACAGAGATTTTCTTTCCAGAAAGGAGGACATTGAAAGAAATACACAGCCACAATTTTTTTTTTTTATATGAGAGACAGGATCAACTGGTTTTTGTTTTGTCAGTAGAGATGATAACACATATGAAAATGTCAACCGTATATTGTCTATACCTCATTTAACAGGGTGATTTGCCAAAGATTAGACATCCTGTAGTTTTTGATAGAATTGGGGATAAGGGTCCGAAACTTCTGTTAGCAGTAGAGATATGATATGAACTCTATTTTAAGATAAAATTGTCCTTTTTGGTATTGGGAAAACATCTATTTTAGATCTCTGCTTAAGCAAGGATGAAGCAAAAAATAATTTTTTTAAGTGGTGGGGGTGACAAGCTCTACAGCTCAGTCACAAGTCTGTCTCCTTGTGAGAGGAATCATAGCCTAGCTGAAGCTGCTCTGAGCCCAGGAGTGAGAGGAAGCCTCTGAGGGGTTGAGGGCTTGGGCTGGGGAATAGTGACAAGGCCAGGCTGGCACTGGCACCTGAGAAGAAGGCCATGACCTAAGGAGGGAGACACTAACATGGGACCATGCTAGGGCATGGGGACCTTGAGCACATTCTAGCTTTGTACCAATTTTAAAAGTTTTCTATATTTTAACTCCTTTTTGCAATTCTTAAGCCAAAAGTAAGATTTGGTTTAATACAGTTGTCTGGTCTTAGCTGTGTTTGGAGAATTGGGAGACAGATCTGTGCCCACAGTTGGGAAAAGGGTGAGAGGAAGGGAGTAACAGTGTGAGGAGGCACAGGGGTCAGCAAAGGGCCAGGAGGTGACAGAGTACAGCCAGACAGGAGCGGGGAACTTGCAAGCATTCCTCCTAGGTTCATTGAAACACAGAGGGGTAAGCAACAACTAGGCAATAACTTGACAAAAGAAAATTCCAAAACTTTGTTCCTCTGTAAAAATCTTTACACATCAATATTAGCTCTAGTGGTCAAGTAAATACATATGAATAATTGTTTATTCCTGCTGAGTAGTTCACACAGTCTTGAGATAGCTCTTCTCCCATCCCTTTTCCTTATTCTACTCTGTCCAAACCAAGGGGCTCATCAGGCATTGGCCGGAGTCAGACTACCATCATCTCCTTCTCTGCAGCCTGGAGCCTCTTCACCTTTGGTTGAACAGACACTGGAAGGTTGAGACCTCTGAACAAGGTTACCTCTTTACTCCAAACCCTAATCAAATATAATCCCTCATCTCTCCTCTGACGTTTCTTCAACATTCTAGAGGATAATAAGAGATTTATAACTCAGAGAAGGAAGCATAGGAAAGTGTTATAACTTTAAAGACTCAATACCTCTTTTAGTAGTCATGGCCCTTTTTGGGAACTTGGGGCAAACTTCGTAAAAGATAAAGACTTCTTGATGAGCTGATTCTTGGGAAATTGTATTAGTGAGGTGTGGTGTCTTTCATGCGATGTTTTAGTTCAAGGGCAACTCTAGAAAGAAAAATGTAAAATAACTGTCAGCCAAAAATGTCACTATATTTCATTGTCCTCCCTAGCTCATCAGCCCATGAACCAGAAGGGACCATAAGAGGAGGACTTTCTGATGCTATCCAGGTCAGGACTTTTTCTCTAAGGTAATATGTGGTTTATATAACCATCGAAGGGTTCCTGCTATGGAGAAATTTATTACCTAAGTTTTACCTACCAGTAACAAGCTTCTCCAAAGCACAGAAACGCATCCATTCTAAGCCATTCTTCTTTAGAAAGCAGCAAGCAGAAGCTCATTTTTAACCAGATAGTTGGGATCAACTGAAAGAACAAGAGTATGACAGGAAGAATATTATGCAAATATCAGATAATCCACTAAATTAAAAGTTTAAAAAACCCTTACATTGGGGAAGGAGGCAATCTCAAAAGTTTTCAAATAAAAATTTACTTTCTATTTTACTGTTGCTACTGCTGCTGCTTTTTAGCATTTCCTATTTTATTTTGATAATAGAAAATAATAGGTTTCTGAAACTTTATTAACAATTATCAATAGAAATGATATGGAAATTGAGGTTAGAGAGATGTAAAAATGTATTGTGTCTCTGCCACCTTTTTGTGTGTGACTTTGAGGAAGTTATGTACAGTCTCAGAGCTTCTCTTTCATTTTCTGTAATTATGTCTACCTCATTGGGTTTAAAGAGAGGTAATAAAGAATCCAAATATAGAGCACCTAAAATGCTGTCTGGTACATCTTAGACACAATAAATGACCATTGTTATTATGATGACTATTGAAATAATTTTTATTACTGTTTTAGCACAAGCCCTTCACACTCAAAAAATTAGAACAGCAGAAACATAACATAATGAAATCTTGGAACTAAATTTGCCCATTATAGCAACTTTTAAGTATTAATTAGGTGTGCAAGGTTCAAGATTTCCTGAGGAATACAAAAATTCCCAAGGCACATACAAATATATTTTGGCTGTGTCCCCACCCAAATCTCATCTTGATTTGTAGCTCCCATAATTCCCACATGTTGTAGGAGGGACCCCGTGGGAGATAATTGAATCATGGGGGCAATTTCCCCTGTACCGTGTGGTAGTAAGTCTCACACGATCTGATGGTTTTACAAGGGGAGAGCCCTTTCAGTTGGCTCTCATATTCTCTCTCTCTCTCTCTCTCTCTCCCCCCCCCCGCCACCTGCTGCCATGTAGGACATGCCTTTCACCTTCCACCATGATTGTGAGGCCTCCCCAGCCACGTGGAACTGTGAGTCCATTAAGCCTCTTTTTCTTTTTCTTTCTTTTTTATTTTTTTGAGACGGAGTTTCACTCTTGTTACCCAGGCTGGAATGCAATGGCGCCATATTGGCTCACTGCAACCTCTGCCTCCTGGGAACAGGCAATTCTCCTGCTTCAGCCTCCTGAGTAGCTGGGATTACAGGCATGCGCCACCATGCCCAGCTAATTTTTTGTATTTTTAGTAGAGGCAGGGTTTCACCATCTTGACCAGGATGGTCTCAATCTCTTGACCTCGTGATGCACCCGCCTTGGCCTCCCAAAGTGCTGGGATTACAGGCGTGAGCCACCACGCCCGGCCCTAAACCTCTTATTCTTTATACATTGCCCAGTCTCAGGTATGTCTTTATCAGCAGCATGAAAATGGACAAATACAGTAACTTTCTACTACAGAAAATTGAGTAACAGGATAGCAGCCACTGATGGCCAAGAGCTGACCTGGAATTTGCAGCTACACCATGATGTCCTCCTGTTGAACATAAATAATTTAATAGTAAACCATTTTCAGACAAAAAAATCAACATTGTCCAAACCACAAAAAATAATCAAACATTCCCATATTCTGTATAATATGAGTAATTGCTGATTCTCCACCAATCATAATTCAGTTGTGCTTAACTCTTCTCACCTTTCAGACAGGAATTACTAGGGTACCCAGTCACAAAATTATTACTACTTCCTAATAGCATTCAATCCAAAGAAAAGTCCCACTTCCTTAAAACCTCACCAAATTCTTGAATATACTCTTTTTCCTTTAGAAGTATGTAGACACTAATGCACTATTTATGGCATTGTTACTGAAGAGAAGTCTCTGAGGTTGACCTGATTATTTCTGCTTTTTAGGAAACTTACTTTTCTATGTGTGGGTGAACTTAAGATCCACTTTTTTCTTCGTTCTTGAAGATCTATAATTTTTTTCAGGTTATAGCTTGGTGTTGATTATTCGGTGTCATTTTGTTCTGAGTTAAAGTTGAGTTCTTTCAACCTGTAGATTCAATTCTGTCGATTATTCCAGAAGAGTTTTCTTTTATTGTATTGCTGAATACTTTTCTCTTTTTCATGTTTTCTGTTCTATTCTTCAGAAATTCTATTCAGAGATCCTGTTGGATCTGGTCTTACATCTATCAACCTCTGTCAAATCACATTACCTGCTTTCCTATAGCCACCCCTGCTGCCTGACATACAGCCACCTATTGCTTTTCTAATTGCAAAATCCTTGCATGTGCCTTTTTGGACAGGGACATTGATTTTAGTTCATCTATATTTTGCCTGAGGTCTGACAAAGCACATGTTATCTTTCAATGTCCTATTTTATGTTGACCCAAATTTCATAATGTTTGAGAGATATTTTATAATATGCGATTTAGGGTTATTAACCCTCCTTCATTATAACCTTTTTGTCATTTTGGTCAGAGTTCAAAAGAAAGAAGTTTCATCTCTAGCTAAAAGTGTCAGAGTTGTTTTTTGTTTGTTTGTTTGTTTGTTTGTTTGTTTGTGATAAGTGAAAGGGAAGAGCAGTAGCTCTAGTTTCTGGTGATAGAGTAGAATTCCTAGCATTGATTTTACAAAATGCTAATGCCCAGGTTCAACCACCAAAGATTCCAATTAATTCATCTTTGGTAATTTTTTTTTTTAATGGATTGGAGGTTTCAGTGGGACGGGAGAATCACAAGGAATCAGGTGTTCAGAGGAATGTATTGAGTAGAGGTGAGGAGCTAGGATGTTGAAAAGTAAAAAAAGGAGAGAAGGAGAGGAAGAAAAAGAGGGAGAGAGAACAGGAATATTGCTTCATTCTAAAAATGGGTATTAATAATGACTGATCAATATTTTGTGTATTTAAAATGGAGAACTCTGTAAATATTTATTGAGTTTACTTGTTCTGGATCTGAGTTGAAGTCCTGGATATCCTTATTAATTTTCTGTCTCATTGAGTCTAAATCTCGTTATGGGTCTTATGTATCTGGGGATTAAGATCTCTTATTGTTGCATTGATCCTTTTACTAGTGTATCTTTGTTGCTTTGAAATCTATTTTATCAAATGTGAGAATTGCAACTCCTGCTTTTTGTTTATTTATTTATTTTTGCTCTCCATTTGGTTGGTAAATTTTTCTCCAACCCTTTATTTTGAGTCTTTGTGTATCTTTGGATATACTGTTAGGTTTTGGCTGTATCTTTTGATTGGGGGATTTAGTCGATTTAAATTTAGGGTTACTGCCATTTGATGTTAACTGGCTATTTTATCCATTTGTTGATGTAAATTCTTCTTTATGTTGATGCTCTTTACTTTTTGGTATATTTTTAGAAAGGCTCGTACTGGTTGTTCCTTTCTATGTATAATGCTTCTTTCAGAAGTTCTTGTAAAGCAGGCCTGGTGGTAATAAAATCTCTGAGTACTTGCTTGTTCATAAAAGATTTTTATTTTTCCTTCAATTGTGAAGCTTAGTTTGGCAGGATATGAGATTCTAGGCCGAAAGTTCTGTTCTTTAAGTATGTTGAATATTGGCCCCCCACTCTCTTCTAGCTTTTAGGGTTTTCCGCTGAGAGATCTGCTGTAAGTCTAATAGGTTTCCCTTTATGGGTAACCTGGCCTTTCTGTCTGGCTGCCCTTAGTATTTTCTCCTTCGTTTCGATCCTGGTGAATCTAACGATTATGTGCCTTGGGGTTGCTCTTCTTGAGGAATATCTTTGTGGTGTTCTCTGTATTACCTGGGGTTGAATAGTGTCCTGCTTTGTTAGATTGGGAAAATTTTCCTGGATAATATCCTGAAAAGTATTTTCCAGCTTGGATTCATTCTCTCCATCACATTCAGGTACACCAATCAAACGTAGATTGGGTCTTTTCACATAGTCCCATATTTTTTGGAGACTTTGCTCATTCCTTTTCATCCTTTTTTCTCTATTCTTGTCTTGTCATTTTATTTCATTAAGTTGGTCTTCGACCTCTGATATCCTTTCTTCTGCTTGATCCATTCTGCTATTTCAACTTGTGCATATTTCACTAAGTTCTCGTGTTGTATTTTTCAACTCCGTTAGTTCATTTATATTCCTCTCTATATTGTCTATTCTTTTCAGCATTTCGTCAAACCTTTTTTCAAAGTTGTTAGTTTCTTTACATTCGGTTAGAACAAGTTCTTTTAATTCCCAGAAGTTTCTTATCATCCACCTTCTGAAGCCTATTTCAGATAATGGAACACAGTTCTTTTCCATCAGGTCTTGTTCTGTTGCTGATGAGGAACTGCAATCCCCTGTAGAAGGAGAGGGGTTCTGATTTTGGGTATGCTCGGCCTTCTTAGGCTGGTTTTTTCCCTTTATTATAAATTTATCCATCTGTTGTCTTTACAATTACCACCTTTCTAATTAGGTTTCTGAGTCGACGTCCAATTTATTGATTCCCAGTGCTGGGATTCAAGCAACCCACTGCACCGGCCAAAATAGCAGCGATAAGATTGATGGTGCTCTCCTGCCCGGGAATCTCTGGTCTGGCTTCCTTCTTGAGTCCGCAACAAGCGGCTCTGCCTTCCCGGAGCTCCAAACACCAGTCAGTAAGGGAACCAGTCCCGTTTACTCTGCATGAAGAGCTGCCGCGCCAAGGTGCCTGCAAAACTGCTGCGCCGGCCACAAGAGTCACACTGGTGACCCGTGGGGCTCCTCCACTAGAAATCTGCTGGTTGTTTTTAAACAACTCTGCTAGAGTTGTTTTTAAAAGTGTACTGTATAGTCCTAGTACAATAATGGTGTTTGGGAATGACCATTGTCTCCTTGACTCCCAGTTCTTGCCCCTACTTTGTATAGAAGTCACGTGATTGGAAGAATAATCTTGGTTTCAGGGCCTGGCATATCCCTAAGTATGAGCTTGGTTCAGGAGTGAGCATGTGAAGTATGAGATGAAGTTTGCAAAACTTCTGGAAAATATTTTCTCCATTTTACAAGAGAGCACAGCTAAGAATAGCTTTTTTGTTCCTTGGTTAATGTCCTATATAGATGTGAGGTCTAGAAGAATTGTGGCCATCTTGACTTCAT